ATTTAATTGCAAAACCAATAACATATAAATATCTGATAAAAATAATGTAAATTATAGTGTAATCAATGATTTCTGTTATTTTATGATTTAAAATTAGTTGTCTGTTAGTTATCGCATTCGACGACCTATTCCTCCATTTTAAATGTTTTCCATTATTTATAACTAACAGATATCTGAAGAATACAATTAGTTTTGATGACAATTATTAGTCGCAATCGTCGTCCGAATCTATTTGTTTGTCTTTCTTATTATCAATGTTTAATTCTGAAGACATTTCTATTGTCTTAGATTCAGATTCATTTGTATGAGAGATTTGTATTGAATTCTCTCTAAGCGCTTCACTTTCTTCTTCAATAGCGAGATTTGCCGCTCTCTCCAGAATTTCTAAATCCATGTTAACATCACTTTTTGAATAGAATTACAAAGCCTCTCGTCACGTATTTCTAACTTTACACAAACCAAACTCACAGACATTGGTTTGTGTCATCAGTCATTACATCTCCAGCAAGTTGTTTATGGAAGGCAGAGGCGAAAGCAAAAACATCCTATGAATGTCTAGAAAACAGTTTAGGACACAATTTTGACCACAATCTATGATCTTTATTGTGTCGGCAAACACTTTAAGCGATAAATTCCAGTCACGATATAAAGGGTAACAAAGAGATCGGCGAATCAAAGTAATTATAACTTCTTTGAGAGAATCGTAAGACTCAAACCACGACAAAGTGGCCGACAGTTTGGTTACAGTCCAACCGGACTCCACATTGTGTTCACTTTCATTAACCCTCATATCGTATGAATAAGCAAACAATATGTCTATCATTCCCAACAAAAGATTCTTTTTGACACACTTTTCAAGAATGTACTCTTTTTTGGGCAAATTTTTCAGTTTAAACCTCTGGTCGTCACTAAATGTGTCACAAATGGGAATTTCATAAGTAATTAGGTTTGAGATAATTTCCTTTTGATCAAAAAGATCCGATAAGTAGTGATCGTCACTGAAATCTTCCGATTCTTTAGCCAATCTCTCGGCTCTTCTTTCGCTATAACTTTTGTGTTCGGGATCTTTGATATCAATTAAATCATTAAACTCTTCGACAATTCTGGCCACAACTGCCGAGTATTGGTTTGCAAAGCCATACGTCTTTCCAAACAATAACAAATCGTCGGTTTCCTGTCTAACTGTTTGCTCTAAATGCCAGTCAAAGTCCTCATCAATCGATTCAATTGAAAGACTAGTCCCGGTGTCCACCTCTTGACTGCTAATCACTTCAATCAATGGCAGTCTATTTGATTCGTCATTAGATTTATTTGACAACAATTTAGTCAATAAATCTAATCCTTCGAAATGCTGTCCTTTAATCAATTTTGAAATCTTCACCACAAATGTGCCGTTCGTTGAGTCGTAATCTGTCTCCTCTTCGCCGTCTTCAATCACTTTTGACGGAAGAGTTAATCTAAACAATTAGTTTGAAGAGAAA